AGGAAGGAAAATGGCACCTATAGCAAGATACTAGCCCCGGCCCGCACTTCACCCCACCTCCAAGCTGTAGCGGAGGCTTTTTAGGTAGAACTGTAGCATGGCCAAAGTGGGACATCAGGGGTCATTTGTGGAAAGAAACAAAAAGGAAGAGAGCTGTCTGGAGCATCAGACTATTCTGATATGGTGACAGTGTCTGCGCCTAAGGGTTTTGTTTGCAAGTGGATACGTTTAGGCTGTAATGTTTCTATTATGCTGTTTTATTTATCATTAGCTGCAGTTCGTACCTCCTGACACTTATACTTCTCTTCTTGAAGAACTCTGATGATATAAAAAACTGTGTTTTAACATGTATAAGCCATCTATACTTAGCTTCCATAACAGATACTTGCATATGTGGGTGTCAGGAGGTTGCAAGCATAGAATGGTTTGTGTTGGAACAGATCAACAAAGATCACCTAGACCAAGCCACCCTGCTATGGGCGGGCACATCTTCCACTGGATCAGGTTGCTCAAAGCCCCATCCAACCTCACTTTGAATGCTTCCAGGGAGGGGGCATTCACAATTTCTCTGGGCAACCTAGTCCAGGGTCCCACCACCCTCATTGCAAAAGATTTCTTCCTTATGTGCAATCTAAATATACCCTCTTTTAATTTAAAACCCTTGCCTCTTGTCCTGTCACTACAGGCCTTGTTAAAGGTCTCTCTCCCTCTTTCTGTATTGGAAGTCTGCAATAAGGTCTCCCCAGAGCCTGCATTTCCCCAGGCTGAACAACACCAACTCTTCTAGCTTTCTTCATGGGAGAGGTGTTCCAGCCCTCTGATCATTTTTTGTGGCTCTCCTCTGGGCCCACTCTGACAGGTCCGTGTCTTCCTTGTGCTGGGGACCCCAGAGCCGGATGCAGTACTCCAGGTGGGGTTTCACCAGAGCAGAGTAGAGGGGCAAAATCACCTCCCTTGTCCTGCTGGCCACGCTGCTTTTCATGCAGCCCAGGATATGATGGGCTTTCTGGGCCACAAGGGTGTACCTCTAGCTCAAAGCACTGGAATTCCAGAGAAAGCCGATGGGGGTTGGGTATCTGTATCCAGGAGTCAGATTTCTCCATGAACAAACTCCTAGATGTGGAAATCAGGGCTGGTACCACAGGAGAGGGCCTTGCTCTTCTCTGAGTGTGGAGGTATGTTCAGTACATCTCCCCAAATTCTTCTTGTCAACTGACCAGAGATTCATTATTTTCTTCACAATTGCATTCTGAACACCTCTTATTTCACTCACTACGCTGCTCACCTCAGTAACTGGAGTTTCACCCTCTGTGATACTGAGGTCCACTTCATAGCATTCCCTGGTTTTGTTTTTAGCCACTAGTGGTTGTACCAGTTGCTCTCTACAGCTACCTGAAAGGGGGTTGTGGCGAGGAGGGTGTTGGCCTCTTCGCCCAAGTAACTAGTGATAGGACAAGAGGAAATGGCCTTAAGTTGCGCCAAGGGAGGTTTAGATTGGATATTAGGAAAAATTTCTTCACCAAGAGAGTGGTCAGGCATTGGAACAGGCTGCCCAGGGAGGTGGTGGAGTCGCCATATCTGGACGTGTTCAAAAAACGTGTGGATGTGGCACTTCAGGACATGGTTTAGGGGACATGGTGGTGCTGGATTAATGGTTGGACTTGATGATCTTGAAGGTCCTTTCTAAGCTAGTGATTCTGTGAAACCCTGTGCTGCCATCACACTGATGAGGCCTCAAAGGTAAATGGATTATATGATAAGAGTGCTGGTCAATCTACTGGTATTAAAGACTTGTGACTTTCAAGCAAATTCTACTGGATGAAGGAATGTGGCAAAGCAAGTTTAAATAAATTAGCTTGTTCTCATTTGCATATACAACAAACAGTAGTAAAGAGGAAATCCATATCATATGGTACCTTAGCTCTACCACTGGGTTCCAGTACACCTTCACATTCTAAAGAATTTGCAATGCAAAAAAAAAAACCACCCTCCAGCCAAGCTCCGTATGTTAAATGATCACAGTTATGTTTAGGGAAAACTCAATAATGTCAGTCTATATATCAAAAGACTTAGAATTGCATAGTTAAATGTAAGATGAAAGGCTTTTCTATCCCTTTCACCTTTACTTTGTTTGCAGTGTTTGGAATAGTGTACTCTATTTAAAAGAACTTCCATGTCTTTAGTTTGCATATTATTACTACAGTTGTAGCAGATATAGATATGGATTTAAATTGCCATAAAAACTCTCAAGAAAATTAAAAGCAACTTTTCAGTTGGATATAATACACTGATGTAATTTTTTTTAACTAATTATGTACTTTCTTGTGTAGTCCTAGTGAGATGTTGCCTTACTGCAACAAATGCAACTTCCTCATTATAGTTTAATGAGGAAATAGGGTGACTGTCCTAATTAAAGCACACTTGAAAAGCTACAGGGTTTTGTTTTTAAATGGAGCAGATTTTCACAAGGGTTTCCTTTCTCATTTCAATTCTAATACTTGTGTCCAAACTCAGGAGCAAAATGTAGTTCTTATAATCTGGAGACTGGATCCTAAACTGTGATCCAAATAATAATTATTGTCTCCAATCCACAGTAAAAGCAACTTAATTAGGCATTATACTCAGCAGCAAAATTTTCTTTCCATTTTAACTGTTCTTGGCTGAGAAAACTCTCTGGTCCATGAGAGAAGTGACTATGTCACTAACAAGCACTTGAGAAATAGTTCTGTGGCCACTTGTAGCAACCGACAGGCAAGTCAGCCTTCTAGGAAGCACAATATTATATCATATGAAATGTGCTCCACACTTAGGGAAAAGGGGTTTGAAGTTAATTAATCTGTAAACTACTGGTCTCAGCCTCTGCATCACCCATTTCTGCCAGGACACTTTGGAAGATGATTTTCCAAGACTTCCAGTGATTATACTGCTAGAGGGAAAAGTTATGCTAGGATAGTCACCCCACACTTAGGCAGGGTTATGAAGAAATAATCATTTTGACGTGCTAAAAGATTTTGTGCAATTCTTTTAGGCTTCCCTTAGTATTTAGAAGGCATTTAGCTATGCCACAAGAAGCATATCTAGACACAGATCTTCAGATATAAAAGAACAAAGTAGACTTTGTGGAGCCAAATTAATGTCAGGCACCAGCCTGGCAGGTCTGCTAGTGACAAACCTTCCAGGTAGTCTATAAACAGATATAGTTCATTCTCTTCAGTCAAAAAACAAACAGAATCTAAATTGAAGCTAGTTTTGCCCGCTCATGTCATATATATTTGTGTGGCAATTCTTTCACTTCAATGTGTTTAAAATACCAGTTTGAATGAAAATGGAATTCACAATGATAATTATAATCATAGAAAAGACTTGTACTGTTTTGGACACCTGTAAATAATACATTAATATCTCAATCATGTTTTCCCCTGAAATTACGGAGCATATTCTGCCAAGAAACATTCTGGAGATGTTGCCTGAATTCTGTAAATTATGTTCAGGAATTAAATTACATAAACAACGGTACAACTTTAAAAGGATATAAATAATTTTTAAAACCTAGACATGTTTGAAGTGCACAAAATGCTAATAATATAACAACTGGCAGCTACCGTACCCATATCACTTCTATGCTGATTGTGTAAGTAACATTTAAAAACTTAACACATTTGGTTTAAAAATATAGCCTCATAAGTTTCAGTATTTATTTATCCACTTGACAAATACAGTCCAGCCTACTGTAAGCAGCATGTATGCGAGGTTTGTTAGCAAAACTGCGAAATACACAGTAAAATTTCTGGATTGCTCATTTGAAGAAAAAATATTTGGATATTGTTATTTTTGAGATGCCATACAGACGGTTAGTGATGTCTACAACGTCGTCTTTCGCCTGTCGGGTCCAGCCGCGCTTTAGCGAGCATTTCTCCGTGCCAGA